GCTTGGCAACTGGTTCATATTTATGACGGTTGCTGTGTTCCAACGGCACCTTTTGCAACCTTCTGGCAAGCAAAACCAATGGGGAAGCCAGATTCACTTAACAACTGGGTTACTAACATCAACTGCAGTGATTCACTTAACAACTGAGGCAAGAATGGTTGTAAAATGGGGCAAAGCTCACTTAAAAATGTCTGACTTAACAACAGAAATTTTGGGCAATTGTCATAAGTTGAGGATTACTTGTATCTCTGAATAAGCGATTTCTTCATAGTCAAGTTCTCAATAATCTGAAAGTGGGCTGAGCAGCCTAGAAAGGGATATTTGCATGAAAGCTGTAGCATCTAGTTGTTTTTCTTTCACCTTGGGCTAGATTTGATATATTCTGGAAATGCCTTACTGATTTATAAAAATGGATAAGGACTCCCTTGAGTTGATTTTGATTCCTAAAGGGAAACATCCATGCAGGTTGTTTGCTAATAACAGTACAGGTAGTCCTCGACTTATGACACAACTGAACCCAAATTTTCTATAGTTAAACAAGACAGTTGCCAAATGAGTTTTGCTCCATTGTGTGACTTTTCTTGCCACAGTTGTTAAGTGAATCACTACAGTTGTTAAATTAGTAATGCATGGCAGAATTGTTAAGTGAACCTGGCTTCCCTGTTCGCTTTGCTTGTCCGAAGGTTGAAAAAGATGATCACATGATGCCAGGACCCTGCAAGTGTCATAAATACGGGTCAGTTGTCAAGTGGATTGCTGCAGCAATCATAAGTGCAAAAACAATCGTTAGTCACTTTTTTCGGTGCCGAAACAAATAGCTATAAGTCGAGGACTATTTTGTAGTGGCTTTTTGGAAGGATTTCCCCCCCCCCCCCCAACTTTGCTATATAGCTTAGAAAGCCTTGGGATTTCTTAAACATGTACTAACCAAGACCAAGCTTGCTTTGCTTTTTTTAATACCAGGCAAAGTCAGCTAGTCCTGACTTTGAACTTAAAACAACAAAGAGACACGTGGCACCGTGAAGGCTAATCAAACTATTGTGGCATAAACATTTGCGGTGTCCAGTACTCTAATTAAACAAGCAGAATCATACACAAAGTTTCATCTTAATTTTTGCTTCTATGTTGCTAGAGAGGGGAAAAACATGTCCTGTTTTGTTTTGCCTCTCTTGCTGTTAATTTGGCTAAGGCCAAACAATTGACCTCAGCATCTGTGCATTCGTCATCAAATTCTTTAGAACCCTATTACCATGCCTTCCTGTGAAAGGACTGCCTGGCTATAGAATTGTGAACAGGAACCTATAACATACAAACCAGTCCCCATGGCTGCTTTTCAGATTTTGGCATTCTGTTTGTCCTGAAATATACAGGATTACCCTTGGAGGCAACAGGAGGTTAATAATGTGGATGTGTTTTTTGTTGCTGATTCCATGTGTCTTAAGAACTGTATAATCATACCTCTCTAATGCCATCCTTGGATAGAATACTGTACTCAAAACAAGCATCTCCTCTTCACAGCTGCGAAGGCAGGTGGAATTGAAAGAGAAGGGAAAGCATTCTGTGCTTTCCGTGCTTTCTGTGCTGGGCTCCATTGAGAACAAGGGCAGCGATCACAAGACTAACCATGTGGGTGACTGTTGCCGGGATGATAGATGCCCAGGGACCCTTGTGGGCACTGGACCTGGAGCTGAAGACAGTGGGGACAGCAAGGACGTCAGTGAGGTCAGTGAGGCGACAGAGAGCACAGATGTCAAGGACAGCTCAGAGGCCTCCGACTCTGCCTCCTAGCAAGGCCTTTGGCTGTGCTCTTCACTTTCCAGCGATTGGACTTGTGTCGTCCTTGGCCAGGGGTTGGACCACTACAGATGGATTGGAAATAAAACTTTTGGAACCAGGTGTCTTGTGTTATGGCTTGTGGAGAAGTCGCCTTGAAAGCTGTGGGTGTGTTTATGTGACTGTTTTGGCTCATTCCCTGTCCCCTTCTAGTTAATCTTTCTAGTCAAGGGTGCCACCTTTTATAGAGATTATTGCCATTTATCAGCAGAGTCTCCTCATGGCGGGAGGTTGGCAAACACATTTAATAAATTTAAAAACTCTTACAGAAGTGAGTGAAAAAGGACTTGTGCAAATTCTTCTGTCTTAGTGTCTGCAGCTTTCACCAGTGGAAAAGCTTTCTGCAGCATGCTGGGCAGTGGGTAAAAACAACATTGCAGGAAATGGGATGAAAGGTACTGTGTCTGCTTAATCTCATATTGCCACTAGAAATCTAAAGGACGACGGGTGAGTGCTTACTGTAAGGTAGGTGGGGTGAGTGGGAGGTCAGCTTTCTACATATCCCACATTCTGAAGTGTAGCTGGGTAAATCTCTAAAACTTGTTCACTTTAAAACTTACTGCAGGTAGTCCTTACTACAATTGAACCCAAAATTTCTCTTGCTAAGCGAAATATTCCTTAACTGATTTTTTTCTAGATTTTATGACCTTTCTTGCCACAGTTAATTCCTGCAGTTGTTGAGTTACTAACATGTTTGTTTAGTGAATCTGGCTTCCCCATTGACTTTGCTTATCAGGAGGTCACAAAAGAGGATCACCCTAGGACACTGCAACTATCACAAATATGAGTCAGTTGCCAAACATCTACATTTTGATCCCATGACCTTGGGGATGCTGCAATGGTCATAGGTGTGAAAAATGGTCGTAAGTCACTGTTTTCAGTGCTGTTGCAACTGAACGGTCACTAAATGAACTTGTAAGTTGAGGACTACCTATATATGCAATAAATGAAATAGAACATTTGTAAACTTAAATGTGTTTCTTGACGCAAAAGAAGGCTTTTGTTTAAATTGGGCCAAGAGTAATTGGACACACAGAATAGAGAAGTACTCACCTGGAATGTTCTGCTTGCGCTAATTTTGGGAGATGAAGCCAAGGTGACTTCCCCATTCATCAGTCACCAAAACATGCATTCAATTTAGAAGAACTTAGAACCAGAAAATACAAATGTGCTGTTTTTTCTAAATAAAATAGCAAACTTTAGTACTATCAAACTGGAGATGGAGTTGGGCTAGTCACATACTATTCAGCACATGATGAGGGTACACCTTGTGTTGCATTCTCACTACATACCAGTGTCCCCATTGTTACCAATCCAAATAGGTGTAATGACCCTGCTATTGTCGTTCCTTAACTGCTCAATCCTTTGTTACAACAGCTTTGGAGTATATAAAACTGGAAGAAAGAAAATATAAATATTACAGCATTAAACTACTCGAGCATCGGGCTAGAAACCAGGAGACCATGAGTTCTAGTCCTGTTAAGACACAAAACCAGCTGGGTGACTTTGAACCGGTCGTTCATTCCCCTAGGAAGTCGGCAATGGCAAACCACTTTTGAAATCTCACAAGTGAACTGGTTGAGTTCCCCAAACTTTCTGGCTTTGTGGACCAGCGGGAGGGGGGAGAGGGGATGGTTGTGCACATGCATGTAGCTCCATTTGCACGAGCGGCGAGCATGTGTGCCTGGTGCTTGAGCAAGTGGAACACACACTTGCCCACTGTTGATGCAAGTGGGGAATGTGTGCGCACTCGCCCACCACTTCTGGGGCCTGGTTCGGAAGAGCTCAAGGCCCGGAGGTGGTCCAGGGGTTGGGGACCTCTGCTCTAGGATTTGTCCAGGCAGTCACCTGAAGTCAGGACTGACCAAAAGAAAAAAGACCCCCAAATCAGAGGGGGCTATTCAAAATCTGGAGAATACATGCTTGAGAAGAACCTTGGAGATTAGCCTCTTCTTTGGAAAAGGGATACAAAGATTTGGAAGAAGGAACTATGTTAAACATTTACAGTAATTTGAAAAACCAGTGATGTCATGAGTAAAATCGAGGAGAAAGTAGCTGGAATTGAACCCATCCATTCAACTTGCTTCAATCATTGCAATAGTGGCAAGGCAGCACATAAAGCATTTGTACCTTCTCACAACTCCAAATAATGTATAGGTCATGGGAGCCCAGAGGCTTCAGGAAAGGTGTGAAACAGATTCAACAGATCCAATAAGGGATGTCCTGAATTCTGTGAAATGAAAAAAAAAAAAAAAGGAAAGCTAGATACTGCATGCTGCCTTAAGCTACTTGTCTAGAGGAACAAAGATGGCCTGTGAAGAAAAGTTTATTTGATAGCTGGTATCTTTTCAGGAGATCTTAAAAAATTCTTTTTGATGATGTGTTGAAAATCCTTTATGCATGGAAAGTTTTCAGTTACCTATATTCAGTGGTACTCATTCAACTGTATTCCAGCTCACTTTTCCCATAGAATCTTATCCTGATTATTCCTTAAAATGCTAATTTGCAAATATTCTTATTTTCAGTGATACGAAATGTAAGGGTTCATTTGCATTCAACTATTTTACACGTAATTCCAGGTTTTCTTATGAAGACAGGTGGATGTTTACTGATGAAACAAGTGTGATTTCATCTGAATGGACTTGCCTTGGGAGCACTCCACACCTGGAACCCTAGTAATAATCATTGCCTAAATTCCAATTCAAGAGACCTATTTATTCTCTATTCCTAACAGTGAGAACTCAGGAAGGAGCACAGAACAGTCTTGGGTTTTGCATGGACCGCCTTGTTGAGCATGGGGATTGTTCACAAGAAGGTCGAAATAGGCCTGCAATTGATAAACGAAATGTCCCTTCCGATGTTAAGCAACAATATATAACCCATAAACGATCCAACGTCGCTTAGTTACGCCTCTGCCTCAGATGTCCAGGGTGCGCTTCGGTTTTGCACCTTCAAGGCAAAATGGTGGATCAGAGATAAACCGAGGGAGGGAAAAATGAAACGGCGAGATTCTCCTCCCGGTGTGGTCACATCCAAGCTTGCCTTGACGCGCCCTCTTTTGACCAACCATGTAAAACGGCCGGAAAGGCCACCAAGCGGTAGCTCAGCGATCCACGGGTTCTTCCTTCTCGATATCTGATTGGCTGCAGGGGGAATTCGCCCTTAAGGTCTATCGGCAGCCGCTTCGCTCGGGATCTTTTCCTCCCCCGGAGCCGGAAGGTGGATCTTTTATTAAAACAAGGCTGCGACTTCAAGGCTTACGGCCCAGGGCGCTACAGCTGGGGGAAATGAGTGAACTTCGGGCTCTAACTAAGGCCGAAGCGCAGAGACTCGGATCACCCGACTGGAAGCACGCTTGTCATGCCCTTTTATACGCGCCCAACCCCAACCGGCTTTTTGGCAAGACCCCGTTGCGTTTCGCAGTATTGGTGAGGATTGATTTTAGCCAACTTGGGGTGGGGGGGGGAATCTCCTGAGTAGGGAACGAAAAAGAAAAGAGCATATTAGGAACGTTAGGAATTGATGCTTACCTCTAATGGGCTACTTGTTCCAGGCAGAAACCCTTAAAAAAACCAGTAAGCTATTGATAAAATCTGTTCCAGGTATATTAATGCTCTGAAGATGGATACTTGATCTGAATAAGTTGTGAGAAAATATAGAAAATCTGGAATGGGATGGACACTTTTTACTAGAATGTATTTTTACTAATGAGTGTCATACACCTGTATTGCTAACATCTGGGATGCAGATATCAGAATGATGAGGAGATGGTAGCAACCAGTTGAGCCTTTCTACATTTCTTTGTTTCCATCTAGTGGTTGATCTGATTTTTGTAGCTATAGTACAGGTAGACCTCGACTAACAGCTACAACTGAAACCCCAAATTCCTGTTGCTAAGTGAGTCAGTTGTTAAGTGAGTTTTGCCCCATTTTACGACAGTTTTTCTTGCCAGAGTTGTTAAGTGAATCCCTGCAGGTGTTAAATTAGTAACATGGTTGTTAAGTGAATCTGGCTTTCCCATTGATTTTGCTTGTCAGAAGGTTCCAAAAGGTGATCACATAACCCTGGGACACTGCAACTGTCATAAATATGAACCAGTTTTCAAGTGTCTGAATTTTGATCATGTGACAATGGGGATGCTGCAATGTTCAAAAGTGTGAAAAGCAGTCATAAGTCACTTTTTTCAGTGCCGTTGTAATTTTGAATGGTCAATAATTGAACTGTTGTAAGTTGAGGACTACAGGTATTGAGAGGATGCTAGGTGGTGTGACATCTATACAAACTCTGAGCCTCTATCTTAACAGTCCAGCCCTGCCTAGTCTATTCAGGTATCTTCATCATCATTTTCACCATTGTCTATCCACTGTAGGATGAAGCCCTCTTCCGCATGTTTCAACCAGTACAACAGTCCTGAGCTTTCTTTTGCTAATTGGGTCTGCAATACTTGCTGATGTCGTTGATCCATCTTGTTCTAATTCTCTTTCATGGATGCTTTTTATCAAGAGGGATCCGTTCTATGACTGTCCGGATCCACCTGCCATCACTTGTTCTTGTTATGTGACCAGCCCATTTCCATTTCAATTCTTTTACTCTCTTGATGATACGGTATACTTTGGTTTGTTCTCTAATCCATGGGCAGGTCTTTCTCTCTTGTCTTGAATGCTGAGCATGTATCTTTCCATGGCTCTTTGCGCCACTCGTAGCTTTTGTATTGATTGTGAGGTTAGTGTCCATGTTTCACTGGCATATATTAGAGCAGGTAGCACACACTGATCAAAAACTTTTCTCTTCAGGTATATTAATTAGCATTTATGTTGCCTTTTCCAAAGTTTAGAACAATTCTTTCCTGGACATTGTTTGGCTGTAATTATCACCTCAAGAGTAAGGTCAAGCAAGGACACCTCTATATGTTGCTGAAAGGAGGCAGATGTACAAAGGAGTAGAACCCCAGAGCCACATGGACCTTCCAGCGGTTTCCAAATAGTATGTTATACTCTAATGTGATTGAAAGTGCACATTGTCAAATATAGGGCATGTATGTTATCATACATTCTGTAATTTATTTGTTACTTTTCATTAAAATTAAGCTCAGTTTGGTTTTATCTTAATTTTGCCCAGTTCTGGGAGTGTCCTTTTCAGTGGTCAAACTTCTACTTGGCCAGAAAAAGGTTGCGCAGTCCTGACCAAGGAAGTTCCTGGCAAAAGTGGTGTTGTAGTGCAAGATTTCTGGCATAGCCTAATTCATACTCACCTTAATTTTTAGTTCAGGAAGAGTAGTGCAGTTTAACAGTTTGGGGTTATGGAAAGAGGAGAACCATATCACTCCATGGTAGCCAGAACTCAGAAGTCTGGTAGCACCTTTTCAGATTGAGACATTTTATTTTAAAAAGGGATAACACTTCTGAAGTATGGAGTTAGTGAGTCTCTGGACCTCTTGGGCATGTTTGTTGTATAATATCTTTTGCAAAGGGCTCACAATAAGTGCATGTACTGTTAGGGGAAGACACCTCTTTTATCGCTTCATATAGTCAAGTACAATTGTTCCAAAATCCTTAGAAATATTTGGAGTTAAATATGTTAATTCAGCTTCAGAAACATTCTCTCTCTCTGTGTGTGTGTGTGTGTGTATGTGCATATACAGTATATAAATATATGTGTAAATGTATCTAATGCCAAGGACTGTATTTTTTATGTAGATATTTGGCTAAATTTGGTCACATCTAAATCTTGTATCTTGAAAATGTGGTTGTAGTGGGGATGCAACTTTCATGTTTTTACCAGGAAAATACAGAAGGTGTCCCTGGATGGAGAAGTGAACAAATAAGTCAGATAGTGCTTATTTGGAGGCCTCGCCACCCGCATATAAGGAGGCTCTGTATTGATTGGGTGATGAAACTGCCAATCAAAGCAAGACAATGCAGGCTGCTTCCTCCAGCTCCATATATTTTGGAGGGAGAAACTGAAGTACAATATTTGTACTCTTTAAAAACCCAAGTGGGTTTTGAAAGGTAGGGACAGAATAATGGTCCTGGAAGTTCCAGTCTTGAAAAATGTTCATTTGTCAGAGTAACAAGTAGGAGATGAAAGAGAAGAAGACTTATAAGCAACCTGTCTTGCAACAATTCTGTTTGGCAGCCTATAGATATGGTGTAATAGTGCTTATAATCTTAAATAGCCATTTATTTAATAAAAGTCACTTCAATTACTTCTTTAAATTTTAACAAATTGATTGCACAGCTCTGTCTTCTCTACATTTTGCCTTACTTCCTTAGAAATCCAACAAAAGAAATAGATGAGGAAAAACCAAAGTATTCCTAAATCAGAAAAGTACAGTATTTAATGGTGACAATGACAAATGGGTCCTTTAGAGCAGCGGTCGCCCTTGAAAATTTTTTGGTGGGCCACAGAGAAATCTCCCAAAGCAATTAATCTAGGCTGCACAGAAACACAAGGCTGCACCGCCCACATGGCCCGCAGGAAAGCTCCCGCCTACTCACTCCTTACCCGGCAAACTTGCCTGCTAAATTGCTATTTTTCCTTTTTCCGACCATCATTTATTCTGCTGTGCTGGGAGATTTAGATTAGCTAGGAAGCAGAAAACGGTTGGATTTCTTGCTTTCTAGCTAGTCTAGATCTTCGGCTCCGCTTCCCTTAGGACTGAAGGTTTGCTTGCAAGCAAATTCAGTGCAGACTCACGGCAAGCAAATTTGAGAGACTGAGCTTGCCGATGGCAGATAGATAGATCACTGAATGATTCTGTGAGCAACTCAATCTGCCTGCTTTGCCTGAATTTGAGTAAAAATTGCTTTTTTTATAAAAAAAATTCAGTATTTACAAACATGGTGTGTTGTGAGTTAATTTTATGAGTTTGCGTACAAGCAAAATTTATGTGACAGATTGAGCTAGCCAATGGAAGATAGATAGATTTCTGAATGAATCTGTGATTCTGTGAGTAACTCAATCTGCCGGCCTGCTTTGCCTGATTTTGGGTAAAAGTTGCTCTTTTTTATAAAAAAAATCAATATTTATATAAATATTTATAATATTTACATACAAGCCATGCCCAGCCAGTCACATGACCACCAAGCCACACCCACAAATTAGGCCACACCCACAGAACCGGTTAGTGGTCCCTGGGATCTAAAATTATGAGTTTGGTGGTCCCTGAGGTCCAAAAGGTTGGCGACCCCTGCTTTAGAGTAGGCATTTTTAAACTTAACCATGCATTCCTTTGAGAATCTGATGAAATCTATGAATCTTTTTTCAGAAAAACGTATTTAAAGCAGTTACATTTATTTAGAGGTCAAGGAAAATAAAATTGGATTTCTTTTTTATGCAAGTTCAAAAAGTCCCAGAAATCACAAAGTTAAAACCCCCTGTTTCTGAGCTCCCCCAGAGGTAGGGAGATTTCATCTTATAAAGATACAAGAAAGGATTACAGGGAGAAGGATAGACTAGAGCCAAACCAAAAGGACCCCTACATCTGTAGACTTCAGGGTGAGTGCATAGAACCCTCCGTCTGAATCTCTTCTTTTCCCTTCCAGATGCAGATGAGGTTTGATGGTCGGCTGGGATTTCCAGGTGGGTTTGTGGATCCCCGGGATATTTCCTTGGAAGAGGGACTAAATCGAGAACTGTGTGAAGAGTTGGGCTCTGGGGCTGCCTCCCTCCACCTGGCTGAGAAGGACTACTTGAGCTCCCATGCTTCTGAGCAGCCACAGAGAGTGGTGATGCATTTCTATGCCAAGCAGCTTAGCTTGGAAGAGTTCCGAATGATAGAGGAAGGGGCTATTCAGGCAAAAGACCATGGATTTGAGGTGCGTTTAAGGGGCAAGGCAGAGGAAGTGGGAAATTAAGAGAGTTGTTGGGAGCCAGTATAAAAACAATTGCTCACAGACAATTGCCCTCTGGGCAAAGTTGACAATGTCCTATTTTTCTCGACTAATAATAATCCCACTCATTTTTTAGTTTTTTTTAACACAATATTCTGGTGATACTAAACGGGGGTGGGGGTGTATAAGAAGGAAGCTGAATAGTATTCTGTAAGCCCACTCTGACCATTGGGACCTTTGCTAAGATTTTATCAAGTCTTGTTCAAATGCCTGTGAACTTATTTTGGTAGGTGTATCAACGAAAACATTTAGAACAACAAAAAAAATATGAAGTGGAAATTGAACATCAGTATTAGACATTGAGCATTTTCAAAGCTTTGCAGCTTTGTGGTAAACCCACACATTGTGAAGTTGGGATTTCTTGAGTGAGGTGGTGGTGGGGACAGCAGAAAGAGGACAAGTTTCCCCAAGAGTTTGTTTTAACCTGATTTTCTACCCTCTAATGGTTCAGGTGATGGGTCTCATCCGCGTTCCCCTCTATATTCTGCGTGATGGTGTTGGGGGCCTCCCAATGTTCCTCAGCAATACTTTCATTGGCAACGCCCGGGAGCAGCTCATTCATGCCTTGGACACTCTCCAACTCATGCCGGCAGAACAACTTCAAAAGGCCGTCAGGATCGCTCAAAAGAGACATTGAGCCTCGTTGATTTTGGCTGCTGCCTTTTCACCCTGATGGCGGCCTTTGGGGATGTAATCCTGAAAGAATTTTAGTCTTCAGGAACAGGCAGCAGCAAGAAGAAACTTAGATATGGTCCTTGCTCCAGTCTTCTACCCACCATTGTTGCTGAGGTTGCTGAATAGTTTGGTGCAAGGGTTGGTCGTCTGAATATGGATTCCAATGATCAGGTTGTTGCATATTTAAAATATGTTGATTGTATCTCTCTTGCCTAGCGGTAAGTAGCAAGAGTTGAAAGACTGAAGTCATTTTGACTACTCTTCATAACAAAATGCATTTGTAATCCTCCTTCCCACATCCTGCTTGTAGGCATAAGATTTCTTCTAATCAAACAACACCCTCGCAAATCTGACTTCTGACCTGCCTCATCTTCTGTTTTCCAACATTTACTCTCAATGTGTTTTGTTATTCAGAGCATTCTGAACTTCATGGAAGTTGCATTACCTTCTCTGCAAAAGCCAACTGCACATATCTGTTGATTGATAATTACTTCATTGTTTCATTGTCAGATTTCCTTTATTTTTTTTTATCAGTGCTTAAAGAATGGTTGTGACACTTTTGTGTGACTCTCGACTATACATTTTTTTATTAGCTTATAAAGAAATGGCAAGTCACCACTGGAAATACGTTTTCTGTTTCATTCTCCTTCTCTTTTCCAATTCTTTGGGATATGGAAATTAGGAAAAGTAGAAGTGTGCTATCATCCAAATTATTGTACCGTCTATATTATTATATAGGTAGTCCTTGAATTATGACCACAATTGAACCCAAAATTTCTGTTGCTAAGCAAAACAGTTAACTTTGCCCCATTTTGCAACCTTTCCTGCCATGGTTAAATGAATTATTTCAGTTGTTAAGTTAGTAACACGGTTGTTAAGTGAATCTGGCTCTGCCTGTCGAAAGATCGCAAAAGGTGATCACATGACCTCGGGACACTGCAACCGTCATAAATATATGCCAGTTAAATGTCCTAATTTCGATCACGTGACTACAGGGATGCTGCAATGATCATAAGTGGAAAAACTTTCGTAAGTCGCTTTTTTCAGTGCTACTGTGACTTTGAATGGCTGCTAAATGAATGGCTGTAAATCGAGGACTATCTGTATTCAGATTAGGAATGCAATTTATTGCTTGGAAACAGTGATACTGTTCAGATTTCAAGGCCTAGGCATGAATGAGCGAGGGAGGGTGGTTTGGTCACTGCTGAGTTCAGCGTTCCATTAAGGATCAGAGGGGCAAAGGAACTTGGGAAGTGGAAGTGCTGTTTATATCCTGCATGTACCATCTGATCAGTGGAACATAGACAGCTGTATCTTGGCTTTCAAAGTAGCCTTTAGACTAGAAATCCTATTTCATGCAGAACAGTATCAGCTGCTCGGAGGTAAAACGGCTTGAGAGCTGAGGTGCTTGGTGGTTATGGTATTGGATTAGGAGCAAAGATAATTCCCTCAACACTGTTCAACTATTACAAAGTCTGCACTACTATTACTGTTAATCTTCTCATCACTCCTTATCACCCATCCCCTCCCACTTGTGACTGTATGACTGTAACTTTGTCCCTTGTATCCTTACGATTTATATTAACTGTTTCCTAGTATGATTTGATTGCTTATTGTACCCTATGACTATCATTAAGTGTTCTACCTTACGATTCTTGACTCTTGACAAATGTATCTTTTCTTTTATGTACACCGAGAGTATTTGCACCAAGACAAATTCCTTGCATATCCAATCACACTTGGCCAATAAAGAATTCTATTCTATTCTATTCCTATTCTATTCCTATTCTATTCCTATTCTATTCTATTCTATTCTATTCTATTCTATTCTAATCTATTACCAGTTTCTAGTCCACCTTCAACCTCTGGTGGTTTAGGGCCAGTCACTTTTCTCCCACCTTGACCTACTTCACAAGGTAGTTGGGAAAGCTGAGAGTAGAGAATGCTGTTAATGTCACCAAAATCCAGACTGAAAGATGGGATACAAGTCAAATAAATACAATTCAAAATGGCTAAATCCTAAAAGAACAAAAGGCACTGTATGAAGCAGGGTATGAAGATAGTTAAAGCAATGATAATTTGCAGAGAGGTGGTGAGGAATAACGAATGGTGTTAGCAGATATCAAATATAACTATCTCACCTTATGCTTTTTAAGTTCTTTTGCTTACTATTTCTTAGTTATTTTCTTTGCTTTACATATTATTACTGAACCTCAAGAGAGAACAGTGTGGTGCAGTTATGCATGTATGTATTTGGAAAAATCTTCAAACCAGGATGGGAGTGTATGAGAGAAGATATTCTGCTCAGAGGCCAGCACTTTTATCTGCTAGGATGAGTGGAAAGAGTAAATGAAACAATTAATGATACTGCATGTTAGTCTAATATTGCATAGATGCTGTGACTTCTTTACAATTTATGCAAGATTTTTCTTTTTAAAGGCTGGACAGCTTCAAAATGTCGCGTTCTCTTTGCAGCCTAAAGCATCATGTACAAGTACGTGTGATGGGTGGCTGTATAAATTAAATGAATGAATACATCTTCAGTTATCCCAGTCTTGAAGACACATGATTTTGATGGGTTTGGATGCAGGATGCACCTCCACTGGCAATGAATTGGCTCTTTTCTACAATGGCTTCTGTCCTGTGCAATCATGTCATAGTAAATCATGCCTTCAACCCATCTAATCCTGCATTCTGTGTTACGTGGTGGCTGGCTGGGTGCACTTGAGAGGCTCACAAGCTTGGACTGGAAATTCCCTTCCATTGTTGATTCCAACAGCCAGTGTTGATGGGTGGTGGCTGCGATTTAGGATTTGATAAACAACCTGCAATATTAGTAGTTATTGGTTCTCCATGAACCTGTCCCCCTTTAGAACCATCAAAACTGCCATTACCATAACTGCCAGCTGTGAATTCACTGGTTTCAATGTACGATAGACCTTCAGCCAGTCTTCAACCTATCTGCATCTAGTTTCAGTGACATTATCAGAGAAGGGAGGGGGGGAACCTACTTCGTCCCCATATTATACGCATTGTGCATGATTTTCTGTTGTGTCTGCTTAACCTTCATTCCAAGCTAAAAAACTAAGTTTTCCTTGAAGAGGAACTGCTCTAGCCTTCTAATCATAACCTCTGTAATGTCATTTTTAAAGTGGGATAATCGAAATTATCCACATTATTCCCAAATACAATTTCACCATAGAGCCACATGATAGAACTGTTACATTGGTAGTTCTAATTAATGCTGATTATTGCAGGCATAGAATTAGCCATTTTAGCAACTACAGATTAGACTGGCATTTCATTGAGCAGCCCAGCATGATGCCAAAATCGCTTCATTTTCTTCTCCAACTTAGATCTTATCAGGGAATAACTGAGGCTTGGAATTTTGGTATGTAAAGGCCACACTTTAAGCATATTTCATCATTCCTTTTTTTTTAAGGAGTCTTTTTAAAAAATACATTTTTCTTTCATTGTTCTTTGGAGTGACTTCTCCCAGAAGGTTGGTATTTGTAATGGATACCTTATTTCATCTTGTTATTTTATATTTGTTAAGATACAAAATTGAAGTAAATGAGAACAAATGTGTAAGTATTTTATAATAAACACATCATTCCAAGACATTTTGTGGACTAGCAAAACACTATGTAATAATCAAAGCTAAGCCTTGGGATATCATCCTTTGAATGTGAATTTATATCTGTCTTCCATTTGAAATAGCCACTAGGCAAAATTTTACCAGATAAGTGGATAATTTATGCTGAATATAGAGTTGCTTTGATTTTGGATCCACAATGTCTCCAGCAACAAAACCCTGTTATTGTCAAAAATGAACAACTCAACAGTCCTGACTGGAGTATTACTGAAAAGATCAGTTACTAAAACTCATTTTTCAATGTAATGGATCCTTTTTCTTGGTTACACTAGTTTTTATTCTGCTTTCCTGCTGGAGGTGGGCAGGTGGAACCAACAGCTAATGATGATTTTAAGGGCATATCCCTGGTGTTTTGTTCAGTAACTGCATTTCACTTTCAAAATGTTTAATGTAACTTGTGTTACAAGAACCAGTATGTGCAAATGCTTCTGGGTTTCAGTAGGTAGTTTTGTGTGTTCTAGAAACTTTTTGTCAGAAATAAAAGACTGGTACTTGAAGAATTCCATTTGTTTGTTTTGGTATTTATCAAATTTACATAATCAGCCATAATTATTAAAAACATAAAAATATAAAACAGCAAAAATTTTAAAAAAGGAACATTAGGCAAAAGGATGTTAATAATGAAGTAGCTGCCTTAATATTTATAATCCAAATTACCTTTGGATGTTTACAGCAGTGACTAACAACCCCACCACACTTTTAACCCACTGCAATCTTGTGACTTAAGTTAACTGTGAAATGGCAGCTTTTTGATTAAGTGGGGATTTGATCCTGTATCCCAAAATATGAATGCATTAATCAATTGCAATAAGAACAGTAATGTGAAAAGTAAGGAAAGTTGTTTCCAACTTCCTTTCTCTGTAGTTCTCCCACATTTCCAATCCATGGGGAAGGGCGGGAACTTGACTGGCCCTGGACAAAAAAAACCCTGGTTATTTAGTGATAAACTATTAAGTATTTGGCACTTCTGGATTAAATATGGTGGCAAGAAGTTTGTAAATGAGTCAGGGAAGACACCTGTGATCCTCCTGATGAGGCGAGTTACAACTCACTGGCATTCCACATGCCAGCTAGACTGCTGGGTATTCAGCCATGCTGAGCAGTGTTTCATTCCCATGCAGGCTGGAGAATTCTGGGAACTGAAGTGCCCACATCTTAAAAGTTGCTAAGGTTGAGAAACACTGATCTGGAGAGCCATGGGTTCCTCTGGAATACTGCAGTAGCTCTGCTTTCATCTTTGTGGTCAGGGTTCAAAGAAAGTTTTAACCCATCCTCCATAGAACTTCCAAGTCCTACATAGAACTTCCAAGTAAAAAATTTTTTTTTAAAAAAGAAAGTCAATATTCACGTCATTATTATTACAACAGTCCCCCAAATGTGGTGGAATCATTGGCTGAAGGAGAGGGTGCCCTCTAGGGCAAAGCTGGCTAGGGAATTCTGGGAGTTGAAGTCCTCCAGGCTTAAAATTGTCAAGGTTGAAGACCCCTGCTCTAGAGGGAGCAAAGGGCTACCCCAGTTTGGAGTCCAGTTGGAGGAGGAAACGTCTGAGGTCAAATCTGCTGTTTTCCAAGAGAAGGCTGACAGTCTAGTGAGATTGTTGTAACACAGGTGACCACCAATAAAATATCTACTTGGGCCTATTCAGGAGTGGTTCTGTTTGCTTGCACCTTACACCGATCTTTCTTAAACAACCTCCCTTAATGGGCTTATGCCGGCCGGATGCCAGGGAAGAGGGACAAGAAATATTTTCTAGCCTAAAAAGTGAAACTCATTGCAAAGCTTGATTTGTGTTCTCTCTTTTCAACTTCCTCATTTTTCTCAAGCATTGGCTGTGGTCGGTTTGCAATGCCTCTTAGTTCCTGAACTCAAGGCCTGATGTTGCAGTTCAGCTGCAGCATATTTTTCTCCTTCCTGCTCCTCTGGCCCATTGAGGAGTATGAAAATAGGACGCTCTAAACGGTCCTTCTGTCCATCTTTATATTATCAAGAACTCCCCCACCCATGTTATTTAGGCATGTGGTTTTGCAAGCAAGGGCACATAATCCCAGCTTTGAAAGTGCCTGTTCAGCTTCCTCCAAGTGGGCGGGGGTGTTTGCAGTGGACCGGCGCAGGGTTTAGACTCTAAAGCAAAGCAGCTTTCTGTGCTGGGAAATCCCGTTTTTGCACCAG